CACAAAAATATGGAATGGTGGCATGTTGGACTGTCAACAGGATCAGATTTAAATTAGATTTTAACTGTTCCAAATTCGAATTCTATTTTTAAAAGAATAATCTAAATTCAATCTGATTATCTGATGAATTTTGTTTTTGTGGTCCAAATAAAAACTGTTAAAAATCTCAAATCCAATCCGATCCAAATAACATAAATTAACTATGTTTTACCAAATTATGTCTAAATTTCTTCAATATTTATATATAAATATCTCACAACGGGTATTTGTCAAATCTAAATCCATTGAATATAACATAACGGATTCGAATTTAGGTCTAGATTATCAATAGAAAACATCAATTTATATCCAATTAATTAAATTTAGATTTGAATTAAAATTCAATTCATTGACGACATGAACATATGTTGAGTCTCACATCAAACGTGTATCGTCGAGATTTCAACTTCAAAAATAGGATCAAAAAATCCAAATACAACTTGGCCTTTAGTGGGGAATTGGTCCCAACATTTGATATCAAAGCCAACCCAATGGTAGTGTCACGTGGCTTGGGAAAAAATATTCATTATAACGGTGATATCACGTGATAATGCTAACGTGGTATTATTAATCAATAATATCAAAATAAATATATGAATAGACCCCACAAAAATTAATAACTAACAATTTATATAAACAAATAACTACTCACTCTTCTTTTATGTAAGTCAATAATTACTCAAGTGAAATTTATTTTGTCCATTTGACTTTTTATTATTAGTTAGTGATACTACATCAACATTACTGATGTAATATCACCATTACATTGAATATTTTCTCGTAGCTTATGCACTTTGCCTGATGGGTACCAATGTGGGGGCCTTCCGACGATAGCAACAGAGTTCGAACGGGAAGAGCTTGTCACGATCGCATGGGTGTGTGTTGACAGGGGCGGAGCCTAGTTATGGCACATGGGGGCCATCTGCCCCCCCCCAAAAAAAAAAAAATCCCCTTAAGTTTTTAAAATTATATATTATACCTCTAAATTTTACCCTCAATTATTGATTTGATCACATTGCATCATAACCATTTATTTGTTTTATTTTACACAAATTGTTAAATTTTAGTCTTGCACAAATGGAATGAATTTCAATTTTTTTGAATAGTGCAATGTAATCAAATCAATAGTCTATGTGTAAAATGAAATCAATGTATAATTTTAGAGAAAAAAAAAGTTATAATGCACCCATTTCTTGGCTAATAAAATATAGCACACCCTAATAGTACATTTAGAGATTCAAAATGGTAAATAACATGAATTGGATAAATTTGGTTTCTCTCTCGTCACATTTTCCAAAAGTAGGATGAATTCTAGTTATAGTCAAGTGGTTACGTGATAAAAGTAAGCTGAAATTATTGATTTTTCAATAAATTGATCAATTTTTTTAACGTTGATCTATTAATTCAACGAAGATTTATCAATTTTATTGAAAATTGGTATATTACAATGTATCGTGTGGAATTAATTGTCGACTCATTGACGGTTACTGATTTATTTTCAATGCGTCTTGAGTTCGATTCTTGGGTAATCCTTTGGAGTTAAGGCATGGAGGTTTTATCCCTCATAAATATCCTTGTCTCAGTGTGAAAATCTTGTATTTGGTCAAATCAGGAAAGAGATTAGTCAAAATACGTATAAATTAGTTTAAATATTCTTGATCGTCGATAAAAAAAGAAAAAAGTAAAATAGTAGTTTTCTGAGTTATTATGCACCGACATTAACCTACTTAGAAAAAAAGGGAGAGAAAAAAGGCTTTACCCATTTCACTTGGTACAATGATGGAGACATAATTAAAGATTGTGGTGAGCAAAAGAGCAAAGGGTACTACAAAAGGAGCTTCAAAAAGTAGAAGAGGGAGTTGACCTTTAACCACCATTATCAAGACTTTCACTTGCAATAAAGTGCATGAATTAAAAAACCATGGGATCATGACTACCTTAAATGAAATCTTTATATTTGGTTTGCAATGATTACGTGTATTTAGAGTTTACTTTTGTAGACATTAATGATACTTCTTTGTAATGCAAAGATTATGGGTAATTACTATGTCCTATTTATTTAAACTTTTAGGTTTGTTTGGATAGATTTTTGAGGATGGTTTGAATTGACTTTTTCAAACTTTTCTAAACTCAAATCTTTTTTTATAAAAATGAGATTCAACATTGAATCCAGTTTATACTTATATTTAGTATACAACACATACACATATAGGACTTACGGATATATTACAATTATTGATAATTATTTATCTTATAAATAACTATTTTACCCATTTATCAATTCAATTCATACTCATATTAAGGGGTACAATTATCTTTTGTATTCTTAATCCCTTAATCCATCTTCCTAAATTCACTTCCTTAGGTTTGACAAAACCCATGATTATAAGTTTAGTATCCAGGCTAGTTGTGGGTTGAGTTTGATAACCCAGGATTGAAATTTTAGCCTAAACATGAGGTTTGAGAATTCTTTGGGTTATTTTCTTCAAATTCTAAACACCAATCCCCCAAATCCACAAAAACAAACAGGCCCTTATAGTATTAATTTCCTCATATTATGGTTTCAACCACATTAATCGGCATTACCATTTTTTACTCCAAAACTTACCTATGTTTTTACCTTAAAAAAGATAAAAAATTATTAGTAATTCTATGCTAACTAAATTTTGGGACCAAATTTTGAGCCCAAATGACATGATATCATATTATTTAGAGTCTTTATTGGGGCCCAAATGATATGACACCAAATAAAGAAGTTCATATCAGCTACCATGTTATTTGGGCTTTAAATTTGATTCTAAAATTTGATCAGTATAGTATTACTCAAAAACTATTAATACAAGTTGAAAGCAGATGAAATTAAACTAATGCGATACTTTAGAAGGATAAATATAATTTACCCAATCTATACACACACACATCTATACCTATATAAATGTATATATATCCTTGCAAATAAGAACATGTATATAAATATTAGTAATAACCTTGCGTTTAAAGACACTCTGTAATACCAAAAATTAATCATTAATCATACAACATTAAAAAAAAAAATAAGAAAGAGTTAAGGGAGAGAGAGAGAGGGGGAAGAAATGTATATGTAGGAATTGATGAAGTTGTCTACCGGTGGAAGTCGTGCAATGATAATAATATTTTTGCGTGAAAAAAAAATTGGGATGAATTTTATACTATTGAATTTAAGTAAATAAAAATTGAATCAATCTTTGACTATTATTGTGTTTTTATAAGTCGAGAATTCAACTTTTTAATTATGTAATATCATATGGATATCTATTTGCATATACATACAAATTAACTAAAGCTTAAATAGACAAAATAATTTTTTTGGCTTCTAAAAGGACAAAATATAACTAACCCAATAATATATATATATATATATATAAAGTGGATAAATTTTTTTTTTTTTTGGTGAGGCACTATTACATAGGCATATACATATCAACAGACAGATCCTTGTTCCAAAAAAAAAAAAAAAAAAGACAGGTCTCTTTCAATACTCATTCATGGCTCAAACAGAGCAATCAAGTAAACTTTCCAGACAATTGCCAACCTGCACACTTGCTTGGACAGCTTACTAGGCCCTATAAAAAACTGATCAACCACCATTCCTAAATAAATAAACATGTGCATGCAGTGAGGGAGCCATGTTATGGACAGGCAGGCCATGGCCCACTTACCCAAGTTTTTTAAAACGTTGTTCTATGCCTCTTTAATTATATTTTCATTTCACTTTTACAAGTTCATCTCTACTTTTTAAATTTATATTTTAACCCCTATAAATTTATATTTTTAAAATTTATCCCCACAAGTTCATCACTTTAAATTTATATTTTATCCCCATAAATTGTGATCTTGATTTTCTTTTTATCCCTATACTATTGATTTGAATATATTGTACAATTATTTATTCAAAATAGTCTATGGATTAGCGATTGGAGCAAAACCAAACTGGAATGATTAATGGTGTAATCTGTTCAAATCAATAGTTTGTAGGTTAAGTAAAATCGGGGTCATAGTTAAAGAGGACAAAGTATACTCCACCTGAAAACCACATCTATAAGGTCCAAAGTCATAGAGAATATCGATTTGAAAGATTTGAACACTTTCTATCATATTTTGTTTGGTTTTTGTGCTTTTTCATATGGCATGATAAAAATTGTATTTGTCTTCTAGTGATTACATGATGAAATTGAACTTAAACTATCATGAATTGATAGCCAAAGTTTGTTTATATCGAATTAATTTAACATGTTTGAACTATGTTGCCTGATTTCATCAAAAATAAATAATAGGGTGAATTGTACTTTGCCCCGTAAAAAATTTAAAAATTATTAATTTGCACATTCAAATATTAGATTTTTTCATATTACACCTTTTAATGTATTAAAAGTGTTGTAATATAACCCTTCTTTTAGTTTTCGTTTTTCATTTCATCAACGTCAATGGGTTTATTTTTAACGACATTAACAACAGAAGCTAACAGAAAAAACATATTGCAACACTTTTTAGTAAATTAAGCGTGTAGTGTGAAAAAATTAATCTACGTGAAAATTCTTAATTTTTTTGGAATGCAAAGTGAAATTCTCCCTAAATAATACATTTAAGAGCAAATTTTGATAGGTTATATACAACTAAAACTTGACATTAACAATGACTCATTGAAATCTTGACTATTAGATTTAAAAAAAAAAAAAAGAATAATGAATGAGATTACTATCATCAAAAAATCTTAAAAAATTAATTGTACAAAGTTTCTCTTCGTATACGTATACGAAGAAATTATTTTCATGACTCGGACCCCCACGAAGGTGGCAAGACTTCCCCTCAACCTTGATTGCATCTATATGCACACACAAAAAATTCCAAACAAATACTGCACATTGATCTGCCTCTTTGTGTCTGACCCATTTCACACCCCCCCCCTCCGCCCACCCCACACCCCAACAACAAATATTGTCAATTACAACAATGCCCCCAAAGAATAGAATTTCATAACCCCCCCAAAAAAAAAAAGAATAGAATTCATAAAATCAAACAATAATGATTTTTGTCATGAAAGAGATGGAAATCGCCTGCACCTCGTGGAAAGAAAAACTTTGCAATCGTCTTTCGGACAAATAGTGGGGACATACGCTATGTCGTCACATCCGTCCGTTCGGTGCCTTTTAAAATCAATCAACGACGTAAACAAGGCGATGAAGAGCACCAAGTGATTGATAGCGTACCTCTGGCCCACACACTGGTGAGCCCCAGCTCCAAACGCTAAAAAGTTCTTCTTGTATACCCGGTCCTCCTGTCTCTCCTCCATGAACCTGTCAGGGTCGAACCGGTCCGGTTCAACAAACCCCTGAAATGAACTCTCGAAAACCGACGGAAACACAATTGTTCCCTTCGGAATCGTGTAATCTTCCGTTAACTGGAAGTTCTCTCCGGCGATGTGTGGCACCATAGTCGCCGGAGCTCGGAATCTCACTACCTCTCTGGCTACCGCCTCTGTGTACCGCATTTCTCTGAGCTGATCGGTGGTGATGGATGTGTCAGAATCCGGCGTCCAAACTTCGGCGACCTCCTCACGAACTCTTGCTAAGACCTCTGGGTGTGAATCCAAAAGGGTCACTGCCCAGAGGAGAGAGGAAGTGGAAGCGTCTTGGGCAGCAAAGAGAAAATCGAACAAATGGCCACCGATTTCTTTACTACTAGAGTGAGGTGGGTCTTCGTCGCCGGCGTGTTTGGCAGCCGCGATTTCTCTAAGATTTTCTTGCATCCAAAAATCGATCAGACAAACTGGTTCATACCCAGCATTGATTCTTGATTTACTTTCCTCTGCGCATGTTGATAGAGTTTGAACAAGCCTCAATACAGCGAGCCTAGCGTTTCTAAAAGCAAATCCAGGAAAATCTATTGGGAGTTTCATCAGACCAACGTTGAAGAAATTGTAATCTTTGTTGAATCTTTGTCTCGATTCTTTGCTTAAATAAGGACCAACAATTACTTCCTGGGATGTTTCGAGATTCATATCTCGACAGAGGAATCTAAGAGGGATTGGGTCCATGGGGGTTGAAGAAGATAAGTGGACCCATGATTTCAAGTGTTCGAGGATGATGATTTGCTGAATGGAAATGTAAGTGGAGAGAGCCTTGGGGGTGAAATTTGGGGCAATTCGGCGGCGGAGGTCTTTGTGGTCTTGGCCAAACATGTAGATGAGATTGTGCTCACCGAAGAGTTTTTTTCCAAATGGGTGTCCGACGAGGTGGAAGGCGTCGGGACGGACGTTGGAGAAGATCTTGTGTGAGAGATTAGTGGAGCGAATGAAGAGGATGAACCGGCCGACGATGTAGTTGGCGGAGAAGCCGCCGGAGGTGGACTTGGCGTAGGAGGATTGGAGGTCCCAGAACTTTGTTGGGTCTCGGACTAAAGAGATTGCGTTTCCGATGAATGGGAGGACAAAAGTTGGGCCTGGGATGTGCCTTTTCTTCTTCAGGTAAGAGATCTGCTCCAGGAAGATTAGGAAAAACAAGAGAGAGAGAAGGTAGGGTGTGTATGAGAGAGTTTTCCAAATGAACTCCATTTATTCTCTCTCTCTCTCTCTTGGTCTCTTTGCTGAAGAGTTGAGTGATGGGTTAGTGGGTTTTGAAGGGAGAGAAGAGGAAATAGATATAATAGCAGAGAGAGAAAGAGAGAGAGAGATGGATAGAACAGTGGAGGGATGTCAGAAGGAGGATAATGGAGGTATTGGGTCAATATAGAATAGGTGGTTTGAGTTTTACAGTGAATGTGGAAGAAGAAGAGAGGAGTGAGAGACCAAATTTGAATTTTATGACAGATAGGTATTTCTCAAGGGACAAACATTCTGACTGAAACAGTCAATGTAAGATTCTTAGATATATATATATATTTTATCTATATATACAGAGAGAAAGAACAGGGGAAAGCTGCACGACATTAAAATTATAATTTTTTTAATATGTAAATTCATAATCAATATTGTAAGTTCACGATCAATTATGATCTTTCTCATGAACAGTTACAATTTTTCTTTTAAAGTTGGTAAACAACAATACAATTCCAAATTTTTTCGATAAAAGAGAGAGAGAGAGAGAAGATGGATGGGAGATCTTAGAGGGCGGCCATGGACAATGGTGGAGGGAGAGGTGGGGCTGAAATCCAGCTGGAAGAGGGAGGAGATGACTCGGAGAATTCAGTGGGGTTGGAATAGGACAAGCACAAAACAGTTCATTTGTCTTGTACAACACACATATGTCGTTAATCTAGAGGTTCAGAATCCGGTTACCTAAATAAACTGTCCTATCTCCTTCAAATTTCTGCATTTATCTATTGATAATACTTGAGGGTAATTCTACATTATTAGCAGATAAAAAAAATTTGGTATCATAGTAAGTCTTATTGATAATCATGCATGAGTACATTCGTCTTAAGCATGTTCGTACCTTACAAAAAAGTGCATAAACATTGTTTAAAGAGTTGGTGTCATGTTTAATTGAATTTATATTAACTCATTCATTTGACGGATTTTTTAATTCTTTCATCTTCCAAACCCTCCAATGTTGGACTTAACTTAATTATTGTATGTTGATTTTTTTTCCATGAAAAGAACAAAAAAAAAAAGAAAAGAGATTTCTAGTGTATGATGATAATCCATTAGTCAGGAACATGAAGTGGATTTGATCCCCAAAAAAAAAGTTAAAGTTAAAAAAATTTGGGTCTTATTTGGATTGTGTATCAAAAAAACATAAATCCAAAAAGTGTTTTTAATAAGAGTTTTAAAAAAATATATTTTAATATTTTTTTTTATGTTACAGAACTTGTTTAGTTATATGTTTTTAAAAATAATTTTATAGATTAAAAAACAGTAAACCTTGTTTATATTATAATCTAAAAAATAATGAAAACTTAAATGTGGTGGTGGTGGTGGATGTCGTGGTGGTGTAAATATGGTGGTGGATGTTGTGGTGTTAGTGGATGGTGGTGGTGGTATTTTCTAAATTCTGAAAAAGTTGTTTCTAAAAACACATAAATCAACTCTAATTTATTCTCTAAATATATCCACTTTTTATTCTTAATTTTCAAAAAAACAAAAACAAAAAACATTGGGCCAAGCAATTTTCAGAAACAATTTTTTAAAACAGAAAAATAGTTTTTAAGATGCAAATCAAACGTAGCCTTGGTGTTTGTGTTTTGTTTTTGTTGCACCTCTTTTGCCATGAAAATGGAAGAGGAAAAATTTGCATGATATGGAAAATATGCATCGAGAAAGAGTGACATTTTCTCACATAAGAAAAGATAATAATAACAACAACAACAACAATAATAATAATACACAAAAATATATTATTTGTTTCACAATCAAGTTTTTGTTACTTCTAGAAAACAAAATGCTTTACCAAACCATACATACAGATATCTCCAACGGTCTACTAGACAATAGCCACCATAAGAATATTCATGTGTCCCACTCCTCTTGTCTTCATTATTTATTTATTTTTTTTGTCTTTTGTCTTTGGTCAAGATAAATAGTGAAGTGTTTTGAATGTTAGCAGTTGGTCTAATGGTCACCGTTCTCATTGTTGAATCTTAAAGTCGAGAATTTGAATCTCACCGTCCTTTTCCTCTATAATAGTATCTAACTAAAAAAAAAAGCGTTTTGCAATAAACCAACTTTAAATAATTTTGGATTTGGATCTCTTTTAATCAATTTTTGTTTAATTTTTTTAATGGTAGATCGCACATTATCAATTCAAGTGAAATTGATCTACTATATAAAATTGGAACCCCACTCAACTACCTATTCATGATGAGTGATCTATTATTGAAATAAATTGAATAAAAACGTCTTAAAGTGATTGGGTGAATTGTATTTTTGATCCTTAGAATATGTATTTTTTGTCACTTTAGTTCTTAAAATATATATTTTATTAATTTGATCTATAAACTATTCAATTCATGTCAAAATAGTTTCTACATAGACAGACTGTTAAGTTCTAAACGAAATAATCATGGTTGGGCACGTGATACTGTTTGAAAGCGTGACATGTAGTCACTTCCGTCAAAAAATATAACGAATTGTCTGATTATGGATCAAAGTGACACAAATTGAATACTTTAAAAATCAAATTGATAAAATTAATATTTTAGAGACTAAATTGATAAAAAATACATACTTTAGGGACTAAAAGAATTATTAAACCAAAGTGATTTGAATCCAATTATTCTACGACGAACATTCAAGCAAACTGATTTTGATTATAGAAAATTCTTAGTCTTCCGACTTTTTTTTCTTTCAAAAATGATGATATTGTTGATCAGTGGCTAATATTGACTACACACCTTTTGAATTTTAGAAAAAAAAAAAAAACGGTCAATAGGAATTCAAAATGTAAGTGTACCCCACAAGTTGATAAACTCTATTCAAAACTCAAAAATAAAAATAAGTGATATAAAAATATGGGTGTTAATTTTATCCATTCAGAGGAGCTCGAAACAAAACTCAAAAATATCACAAATAGTTGATACGAGTAATAAATTTTTCAAATTAAAATTCGATACGAATAATATGATTAACAGGTACTGTAGATAAAAAAGTAAGTATTTAACGAGTATTGTAAATAAAAAATAAATTTTTATTAATTTTTTAAATAGTGTTATATAAGTTATTGTAAAATTAAATAATTTTTTTATTAACACGAATCACATGAATATGAAGTGGATCCAACACAAAAATAATATAATTGAAAATGATACGATACAACACAATTCACATGGCCTTTTTACTATTCCGATATTGTAGTCAAACCCTGCATTTTGGCTTCTCTAATAGCCTAGACCTCAGCAAGTATATGCCATGCTTTATACCACTAGTTGTAGAGGTGAAACTATGGTACCAAAATTTTATCAACGAGAGGAAGATAAGTGTAAAGTATTTTATATTTTTTATATTTTATATTTTATATTTTTTTCAGGACCACTTGCAACAAATTAAGCAACACAAAATTCAGTTCGAGTGATTTGTGGGTCCCATTGATCAAAAAAGCAACACAAAATCCATGACTACGATTCATTTTTTGGATACGATACTTTTATGCCAGATATGAAACCTCTTTGTCGGCTAGATTTTCCTCGGTCAAAATGGTAATGTGCTGGTAATGATTTTGTGTCTGAAAATATTATGTAATATTAAAAATTTAATATTGATTGTGTAATATTTTTATTTTAAATAATAATTTATTTTTAATTTTATTTTTTAATTTCATAATTTAAAATCAAAGTGAACAGAAAGAAATAAGAGAGAAGGGAGAGATAGTTGTCGAATAATTTAATTTGATCCATTTGACATTAAGAAGTGTGTAAGTTGAATTTGGTTGACACTAGGGGTCGTGTAGAAAAAAAGATGATATTTTTTAGCAGAAAAAAATTGAGATAATTTTTTTACCATTAAATCAAAATAAATAAAAATTAAATTAATGTTGATTATTTTTGTGCTTTTATAAGTTGAGAATTCAATTTTTTACCTATAATATTGCATAAATTTTGTAAGGTTACGGTGATAAAAAAAAAAAAAAACAAGGTCCTTCAGAAATTGATACATCAAATCAAACTTATTAGTGAATAAGTCTATAGTGAAAATTATTTTGTGAAAAAGTCATTTGATGATATAGAAAGATTTGAATACCATTTTATTATTTAGTAGTTGCCTAAAATGATTTTGAAAAACTAAAACTTATGCTAAATCCTTTTCATATGACTCTCTTTCTCTCTCTCTCTCTCTCTCTCTCTCACACACACACACACACACGACGCTTCAACTTCTAAAATCACTTGGCATTCTGTAAAAATTTATTTTCTTTTTTGTACAGATATATTTTAAAGTTTTTGGGAATCTTTTGGTATTTGAAAACTAAAATTAAGGAATTTAAGTTATCTTATCTTAGAAAAGTATGATATCATTGGTTCATTAGTTGATACAATCACAATTAACAAAATAAAAAAAATAGCATTATAGTCGTAAAATTGAAACCAAAAAAAAAAATAAACAACCATGCAGACAGTTACATGTACTAAAAACATAGAGTCACAAACATGAAGAGACGAAAAATCAAAAACAGAATTTACATATCATATATCATATTATAGAAAGAGCAATGCTATTATGATCTAATTTACTGACCTAATTCACTATGATGTTTGGATTAATTGTGGATCTCATTAAACATTAGAATTTGATGTTAATCCAACAGTTTTACTAAAACAACATCATTATAGTGAAATAGTACAATGCCGAGAACATGGAGAAAACAATCTATTTTGGAAAAAAAAAAAAAAGTTGGTCTAACAAAAGTTTGATTGAAAAAAGGAAACAAAAAAAGTGACCACTCAAACAATCATTTGAACAGAAAAAATTGAACCAAACAAAAGAACCAAAAATAAATGAAAACTATAATTTCGAACTTGATAATGGCTGAACGTTGTAGAAGAAGAAGAAAAACGAAAACTGGTTGGAAAATAATAAGGACGATTAGTTAATGTTAACTAGTTGAAGAAGATAAAAGAAAAACAATAATT